CTTTCCACAGTCAACCCGCATAGTCAGGATGAGCAACAATTCAAGGTTACCCTTGCATCCTTCTCCTTCGGCCCGTCCTTGGCCACTTTCCCTAGCCGCGCCCCGCTCGAGAGGGATCGGCATGGCCTTCCAAGGCCCTCGCATCCTTGATCGTGCGTCCTTCTTGTACGGGTTGACTGCACTGCGGTCGCCTGCCCTGGGCAATCAGACGATCTGCCCTCTGCCCGCGTTGAAGCACCGCCCTTCGCATGCCCCGCCGGGCAGCTCGCCTGACGCGCTCCCCGACAGCGTCCCGCCGCAGCACAGGCAGAAGACGCGTGGCTTCCCCCTGGCTCTCGCAGCACGCCGCACCAGCGGAAGGGCACGGGCCCCGAGCTCGCAGCGCCACCCGCGAAGAAAGAGGCCGCTCCCGCCGGGGTCGAAGTTTCGAGCGCGCCTGGCCCCTGGCCGGGGGGGGGGGCCAGCCCAGCCTCGCCTCCGCTCGCACCTGCGCGGGCGCGGGAGCCGCCTCCCGGATGGCGGCCGCAGCCAGGCCGACCTGTTCGTCGGCCCCCTCCTCGCCCACGCCCGCGAGAGGCTGCCTGGCGGTGGCCGCTGCGCCAGCCTGCGCCTCCGGGTGTGCGCGCAGCGCGTCTTCGTGGTCCTCGAGCCGCCACGCAGCCTCGCGGCAGCGGCGCGCGCGAGGGTCCTGTGAGCCGCCACGTCCTCTGGCGTGAAGGCTCCCCAGAAGGATCCCCACAAGTGGGGCCATGGGTCGCCCGCGCCGCAGCCCGCGCTGGGCTCCCCGTGGAGCACCCGCAGCGTGTTGGCAGGGAGGAGGGAGGAGAAGCAAGAGGAAGAGGAGGAACAGACGGAGGAGGAACAGGAGGAGGAGGAGCAAGAGGAGGAGGAACAGAGGAGGAGCGAGGGAGGAGGAGGGACGGGGGAGGAGAGAGGACGGAGGAGGGATCGGGTCGGATCGGCCTCCGCGACTGCATCTGTCACAAGGTGACAGCCAGGAAACAGCGTTGATACATCTACCAACGCAGTCCACAGAGAGGGAAGATGGGAAAAGAGGAGGGAGGAGAAAAATGGATGGGGAGAGGAGGGAGTAGAGAGGAAGAAGAGGGAGGGAGGAGGGAGGAGGGAGGGAGGAGGGAGGAGGGAGGGAGGAGGGAGGGAGGGAGGAGGGGGAGGAGGAGGAGGGGAGGAGGAGGAGGAGGAGGAGGAGGAGAGAGGAGGAGGAGGGAAGGGACGAGGAGAGGAGGAAAAAGGAAAGGAGGAGGAGGAGGAGGAGGGAGGAGGAGGAGGAGGAGGAGGAGGAGGAGGAGGAGGAGGAGGAGGAGGAGGAGGAGGAGGAGGAGGAGGAGGAGCTGTGCCTTGCTCTACTGGCAGCTGGTTTCTCTCGCCCCCGCGCTCATCCGTGCTGCCCCCCCGCCTCGCATGGGCGCACGTTGCGCGGATCGGAGCCCCTCGCCCTTCCCCGGCCCCCACATCCTCCTCCACTCCATCCTCGTCCCTCCTCCTCCTCCTCCTCCTCCTCCTCCTCCTTCTCGTCCCTCCTCCTCCTCTCCCTCCTCCTCCTTTCCTCCTCCTCCTCCTCCTCCTCCTCCTCCTTCCTCCTCCTCCTCCTCCTCCTCCTCCTCCTCCTCCTCCTCCTCCTCTCTCCTCCTCTCCTCCTCCTCTCTCTCCTCCCATCCTCTCCCTCCTCCTCCTCCTCCTCCTCTCCTCCTCCTCCCTCCTCCCTCCTCCTCCTCTCCTCCTCCTCCTCCTCCCTCTCCTCCTCCTCATCCTCCCCTCTCCCCCTCCTCCTCCTCCCTCCTCCTCCTCCTCTCTCCTCCTTCCTCCTCCTCCTCCTCCTCCTCCTCCTCCTCCTCCTCCTCGTCGTTCTCCCTGTTGCTCCTTGCAGATGTAACTCTTCCCTGTCGCACCCCCAGACGTGCCAGTAGGGCGGACCGGCCGGGTCGCCCGAGACTTCCTCGCCATGTTTGTGCCGTTGGAGCTTGGAAGTTGCAACCGGCTCACGGATGGAGGGCGGCCGTTCTCAAATTGTGGTTCTTTTAGGGGAACACAAACTGGCACAAACATAATTATCCCGGCAAAGCAACCTAACAGCGATGTGTAGGAGCATATCTGGAAACATTCCCCTCAAGATTCACATGAGAATCCAGTTGTAGAATTTTGCTGTTCTCGCAGTCGCAGTCGCATTCGCGATGAAAGTCGCTCAGCCTCAGCCTGCCTCAGCCTCAGCCTCGGCCTCAGCCTCAGCCTCAGCCTCAGCCTGATTCAGCCTCAGCCTCAGTCTGCCTTCAGCCTCGGCCTCAGCCTCAGCCTGCCTCAGCCTCAGCCTGCATCAGCCTCAGCCTCAGCCTCAGCCTCCTCAGCCTCAGCCTGCCTCAGCCTCAGCCTCAGCCTGCCTCAGCCTCAGCCTCAGCCTGCTTCAGCCTCAGCCTCAGTCTGCCTTTAGCCTCGGCCTCAGCCTCAGCCTGCCTCAGCCTCAGCCTGCCTCAGCCTCAGCCTCAGCCTGCCTGCTTCAGCCTCAGCCTCAGTCTGCCTTCAGCCTCGGCCTCAGCCTCAGCCTGCCTCAGCCTCAGCCTGCATCAGCCTGAGCCTCAGCCTCAGCCTGCCTCAGCATCAGCCTGCCTCAGCCTCAGCCTCAGCCTGCCTCAGCCTCAGCCTCAGCCTGCTTCAGCCTCGGCCTCAGTCTGCCTTCAGCCTCGGCCTCAGCCTCAGCCTGCCTCAGCCTCAGCCTGCATCAGCCTCAGCCTCAGCCTCAGCCTGCCTCAGCATCAGCCTGCCTCAGCCTCAGCCTCAGCCTGCCTCAGCCTCAGCCTCAGCTTCAGCCTCAGCCTCAGTCTGCCTTCAGCCTCGGCCTCAGCCTCAGCCTGCCTCAGCCTCAGCCTGCCTCAGCCTCAGCATCAGCCTGCCTCAGCATTCAAAATGTGGCCCAGGAATGGAGTTCTGGGAACTCGAAGAACACGAAGTGGCCTACAGTTGGCTCCGGGCATTCAAAATCATGCCCAGGAATGGAGTTCTGGGAACTCGAAGACCACGAAGTGGCCTACAGTTGGCTCCGGGCATTCAAAATCATGCCCAGGAATGGAGTTTTGAAGGAACTCCGGGCAAGAGGAATGGAGTTCTGGGAACGAAGAGCACGAAGTGGCCTACAGTTGGCTCCGGGCATTCAAAATGTGGCCCGGGAATGGAGTTCTGGGAACTCGAAGAGCACGAAGTGGCCTACAGTTGGCTCCGGGCATTCAAAATGTGGCCCGGGAATGGAGTTCTGGGAAGTCGAAGAGCACGAAGTGGCCTACAGGTTGGCTCCGGGCATTCAAAATGTGGCCCGGGAATGGAGTTCTGGGAGGTCGAAGAGCACGAAGTGTGTGACTGTTTGCTTAAAACGAGCCCGGCCCTGAGCCCGGCCCTCGCTGTCCGGATGCCGCCCAGACCTCCCTTCTGAGTCATCAGATGCTCTCTTTTGACACCACTAGAACCTATCAGTCTTCGCTGTTAGGTAAAAATTCGGAGGTTCGCGCGGATTTCTCGGATCGGCGCTGGGGTTCCCCCGCGGCGCCTCCGGCGCCGCCCCTGGCGCGCTCCGCGCGCCAGGGAAGGGGGTCCAGCGCCGATCCGAGAAATCCGCGCGGACCTCCGAGTTGTTATGTTTATGCATGTTTTTGTGCCCCTATCGCTGGCGCCGCGCGCCTTCTTTGCAGCAGCTTCGCGGACGGAGGGCGGGCCGTTTTCAAAATGTGGTCCTCGTCTTAGCGCCGCGCACGTGTGTCCCAACATGCTGCAACAGTTTCAAGGGTTCGCATGTCTGATGTCCCAGGACTGGCGTTCTGGCACGATGTAGGGCTGTGAGGACGCAGCAGTCATGTTAATGATCAGGAGGAAAAGAAACACACAAACACAAGTAATCTTCGCTTCCGCAGAAAATATTGAAAATATGGGAAGTGGGGGGAAGACAGAAACCGTGAAAAATATATGAAAATATTGTTACTTGTGTGTATGTGTTTGTGTGTCCTGGGGTCCCTTCAAATGATGCGCTGTGCTGAAGTTCAGGAAAGGCGTTCTGCCAAGATTTGGCAGTGCCAGGGCGCAACAGTCCGTTGATCCACGGCGTTGACGTCCCAGGAATTGTGCTTCGGCGCGACGGAGGTCTCTCAAACGGTTGCTTTCCAGTGGGGCATAGTCCGCAGTGGGCATGAATCGTCGAAGGGATGCATGAAGAGGGAGTTCCGATGAGATGAGGAATGGATCGTCCTGGGTTTACACTTGTCCTCCTCCTCATCCTCCTCCTCATCCTCATCCTCCCCCTCCTCCTCCTCCTCCTCCTCCTCCTTCTCCTGCTCTGCGATTCCCCACCCCCGCCCTGCTGCCGCACCCCCTCCGCTTCCCGCCCCTCCCCCCTCTTTCCCCCCTGCTCTTGCCCTTGCTCTTCTTCCTCCCAGCCCCACCTTCCTCCACTTCTAACCCCACCCCCTAAACCCCACTTTTTTTTTAAAAAAATTAAAAAAAAAAAAAAAAAAAAAAAAAAAAAAAAAAAAAATTATTATTATTATTTTTTTATTATTATTATTAGTATTATTATTATTATTATCATTATTATTATTATTATTGCTACTATTGATGATTGTTATTATTGTTACTATTCTTATTATTATTCCGCCTCTCCTCCACTCCCTCCCCTAAACCCACTTCCCCCGTCTCTGTCCGTCAACCCCAGCCTTTTCCCCTCCCCCCTTAACCCCAGCCTTTTCCCCTCCCCCCTTCCTCCTTCTTATCCTGACTAGAGTTTCCCTCCCCGTCGCCTTCCCCAGCTCCACCTTCCCCCTCCCTGTCCACTCCTCCACCTTTTGTCCTCCTCCACTCCCTCTCTCTCTTTCCTCCTACCTCCCCCCCTCCCCCTCGTCGTCGCCGCAACCTCGCAGTCAGTCGGCGTCGTCACCGCCACAGACCGCCTCTGAAACCCTTTTTTTTCTGACCTGGATCTCGAGGCGGAGCGGGCCCTGGCGGCGATGGCCCCACAGGAGGCCCGCAGGTCAGCGTCGTCGTCCGGGTGGTCTTATCATCAAGCCCCCAGGAGTCTCCAGAGGGACGTCCCCTGGAGGGCCCTCGAGATCCCTGGTTCCACCACAGGGTCTCGGATAGAGAAAGGTCGGTGAGGGCAAGAGAGGGCCGATGACCAGGGGGGGAGGGATATCATGGCCGGGGCCACGAAATACGTCCCTTGTCCCCCCCCCCCCCCCCCCCCAGGGCCGCGCACGTCCTTCGGGCCACGAGTTGCGATCCCCCCTCTTGGACGCGCCCTTCCGGGACGCCCCCGAGAAAGCAGGTGGGGGGAGGAGAGGGAGGACGTCGTTGGCGTCGTGGTCGGCGCGTCTGCGGCGTCGGCGTGGGGGCGTCGTCGTCGGCGTCGTCATCGTCGGCGTCGTCGTCATCAGTGTCGGCGTCGGCGTCGGCGTCGGCGTCGTCGACGGCGTCGTCGTCGTCGTCGTCGGCGTCGTCGGCGTCGTCGTCGTCGTTGTCGTCCGCGTTCTCGGCGTCGCCGTCGTGCCCTCCACGGCCTGGGGCCCGCGCCGGCAGCCCCCAGGCGCGGGGCGGCGCCCGTCGCCGAGGAGCCCCGGCGCGCCGCGGAGGCCGCCCCCCCCCGGCGGCCCAGGCGGTGACTTCGCCCTCGAGACCGCGGCGTTTCGGCTTCGGTTTCGGACGGCTTCGCTTCGGAGGCCAGGGAGGAGGGATCGAGGAGGGAGGAGGGAGGAGGGAGAGGAAGGAGGAGGGGGGAGGAGGAGGGAGGAGGGGGGAGGAGGAGGGAGGAGGAGGAGGGAGGAGGGAGGGGAGAGGGAGGAGGAGGAGGGAGGAGGAGGAGGAGGAGGAGGAGGAGGAGGAGGAGGAGGAGGAGGAGGAGGAGGAGGAGGAGGAGGAGATGTTGCTTTCCTGGACGTCCTCGTCGCAACGGCTGGGCGCGGCTAGGAAAAGGTAGCCAGCGTGGTCCCAAGGAGGGGTTTGGGGACCTTGTTTCGGGAGAAATGCAACGGGGGGGGCACGAAAAGCAGGGGCATCGAGGATTGCAGGAGAATGGTCCTAGAAGGGCCCCAGAGGACCCGATTTTGAGCAAATTTCTGTCGGACGACGACGACGACGACGACGGCTGCGGCGACGACGACAAAGAAAACGACGTAGCCGGCGTCGAGGCGAGAGCGCCCAGATTTGCTCCCATTGACCAACAATAACCATTCGCTACAAATGTGTTTTCCACGGGGCCGCGGCCGCCGTCTCCGTCATCGTTTTCGCCGCCCTCTTGCCCAAGTCCGCTCGATCGTCGCACGGCGCCCCTCAGGGTCCGGGGGAGGGCGACGACGACGAAGACGAGGACGATGGAGCTCTAGAGGGCATCTCCGCGAGCACCTTCGGAGATCTACGGGGACCTCTGTGGGGACCTCCAGGGATCTACAGTCAACCCTCATAGTAAGGATGGGCAACCTTCCCAAGGGTACCCTTGCATCCCTGCCTCGTCGGTCCATCCTCGGCCACTTCCGTTGGCCGCGCCCCGGTCGGGAAGCTTCGAAATGGGTTCCCAAGGCCCTTGCATCCTTATCGTGCATCCTTATTACGTATACAGGTTGACTGTATTATTTGCTTGTTCGCTGAGGGCTCCCGGACTAAACGCGGCCTATGCCGAAAAGAGAAGTGCTCGTCACGCAAGGCGGCGGGGACCCACGGAACCCGACTGCGGGGCAGGACCCAAGCCCAGGCAGGCACCCACCCAAGAGAGGAGGCTCACGGAGGAGGAGGAGGAGATGGAGGAGATGGAGGAAATGGAGGAAGAGGAGGAGGAGGAGGAGAAGGAGGGGGAGGACGAGGAGGAGGAGGAGGACGAGGAGGGAGGAGGGAGGAGGGAGGGAGGGAGGGAGGGAGGAGGGAGCAGGGGCCGCAGAGTCGCATCGTGGCCAGGGCTGCCCGCTGCTCGGGAAACGGGCCAGGATGGATCCTAGAAGGTGCCCTGAGGCTCATCTTGAGCGGGTTTGGGTGAAGAGGGCGGCGACGACGGCGGCGTTGTCGTCGTCGCCGTCGTCGTGGTCGGCGTCATTGTCATCGTTGACAGCGTCAGCGTCGTCGTCGGCGACGTCGGCGTCGATGTCGTCGTCGTCGACGTCCTCTCCTGAAGGATCAGCCCTCGGAGCTGTCCAGGGGTGCGGTCTGACCGGAATTTCGAGGCGGATGCGGCGTGCAAGACGGGGGCGCCCCCGGATGGCCCAAGAAAGGCCGGAAAAATCAGAAAAACCGTCCATTGGGAGTTGGTCTGACCCAAAGTTGCTCAAAGCCGCTTCATGGACCATGGGCCCCGTCCAGTGGGGGTAAATGAACAAGTGCACTTTGCACTTCTCCGCTCCGCCTCCTGTCCCACCTTCGACGGTGCTCGTTCGATGCAGCACCGCAGGCAGTTTGGCCCGAAGAGCCCCCAGGTGGCGAAACACGCAGCCTTGCTCTCTTTTCGCCAGACACCCGCCCCAGGGCAAGAGTTAAGCCGGGCATGTCCCTCCACAGGAGGCATACTCCAAAATGGGCAAACAAATAGTCTGGGGACGATGGTTGAGCATTTTTCACCATGTTTGAATATCGTTTGTGCAGTTATGAATTATCTGTCGTCCAACATCCGCCTGTAGGGGGGCGTGCCCGACCCTGAAGCAGGAGCCCGCCGTCGGAGCCGCGCCGGGCCGAGGCAACGAGGGCCTCTGGCAACGCTCGGAGGCCTGCGAGACGAGAAGGTCGACGTCGGCGGCGGCGGCGGGCGCAGGCGTGCGTGTTCCCAAGGGCGCCCTCGAGGGCACGAAGCTATTCGCGCTTCGCGGTTCGGCTCCCATTCCTCCTCGTCCTCCTCCTCTCCCCTGGGAGGCGGCGCCAGAGCGCGGAGTTAGTCGCACTTCCAGCTTCGCGCAGCGCGAAGCGCGAAGTTGGGAGCCCTCGTTTCTCGACACGGGGCGGAGATCCGCGGCGCGCCGAGGGGGGAGGTCGGAGGGACAACGTTAGGGTCAAGGCGAGCACGTCCCTCTACGGCAGTCTGTTGAGGATGTTCCGTGCTCTTGTTGTCATGCAACACTTGGTTTCCGATTAGGTTTGTTTTGTCTTCCAAATCCGCCTGTAGGAGATATGCCCGACATAACGTTAGGGGAGGATAAGGTCAGGGGGAGAGGAATCGACCCCCAATCGCCTGCTCGCCGAGAGGGGCCCGATAGTCCCCCCCCCTGCACAAGAGCGTGCGGTTTCGCCATCAGGGGCCCATCGCCGATCCATCGGCGATGTATCGCCGGCTCCAGCTCGATGTCCCCCCACTGAGCTGGTCCCCTCCTCACGTTGCCCCTCAAAGTCAGGGGGCATGGCTCCTCCGAAGGCAGCGGGGGCTGCTCGGAGCCCCATCCCGCCTTGTGGGAAGCCCCTCTCGCTTGTCCGAGGCCTTCCAGCTGCCGGCCTCCTCAGAAGCCCTCCACCCTTCCGGCTCTGGAGGGGGCCTAGGAAGATTCCCAGAAGGCCGGGGGCCGTCCCTGGGCGCTCCGCCGAGGAAGGAATGTGCGATCGCAGCTCCACACAGTACAGTCGGGTCGCTGAAGAAGGAACCCTTTTCGTTGGGAAGGGGCTCCGTGTTCCTTGAGTGTTTCACAGCTTGCCTCAGGTTTTCCTTCTGTTTTCGATGGGAAATCGAAGTTCAACTTATGGAAAAAAGGGGCCTCGTTCCTTATTTAGGGTTCCTTAGGTCAACGCCCCGACTGTACGGCCCGAGCCCAGCCCCTCACGCGCATCTGGCTCCCACAGGGAGCTCTCAACCTACGACCCCAGTGGGTTCGGCCACATATAGGCGACCTCAAACGCTGTGAGCATGGCAGGCCCGCGCCAGGCTGACGCAGCGGCGACCCCCGCGCGGGCGGTCAAGGCTGAACACTGCCAGTGGCCCAAAATCGGCCGACATCGAACGACCCGCGCTATCGGAAAGCCGCGATCGCTCAAGGTTGAACGATCCACGCTTTGTCAGGAACCATCGGCCGAGCCGTCACGACACCAACTTGCTGGACCAACCGCGAGGCTCAAGGGAGGAAGCATCGCCCCCCAAACGCCCATCCATCGCCGACCAGGGCCCGGCGGCCCCCGTGCCCGGGAAGGTACGCATCGCCGATCTGTCGGCGATGCATCCTCGATTCCAGGTCGATGTTCCCCCGCCCTCCTGAGTTGATCCCCCCTCTCCTTGCCCCTGACCAGCAGTAAAACATCAATCCCTGAACCTCTCCTGGGATGCGCTCCGGCCAGAGTTCCGGGGCGGATCCAGCGGTGGCCACAAGGGCGCCCAAGGACGTTCGACAACGTCCCGAAGCCGAACCTCGAACCTCGAGGCGTGACGCCGCTTCGTCGCCGTCGGCGGCGGAGGCGGCAGCGCCGCCCTCCGAGGTCGCAGCGGTGCCGCCCGCGCCGCTGGTCGGGCCTTCTCCGCCGCGGGAGGCGGGCTCCCGCACCTCTCGCGCCGCCCGCGCCCGGCCGCCGCGGGGGTCGGCTCCTCGGCGGTCGCCCCGTCGAGTGCCGGCATGGGACACGTCCCTACGGCTAGCTCTCGTGTTTTCCGCTCCTCCTCCTCCTCCTCCTTCTCCTCCTCCTCCTTCACCTCCTCCGCCCTCCTCCGCCCTCCTCCTCCTCCTCCTCCTCCTCCTCCTCGTCCTCCTCCTCCTCCTCCTCTCCTCCTCCGCCCTCCTCCTCCTCCCGCCCTCCTCCTCTCCTCCTCCCTTCCTCCCCTCCGCCCTCCTCGTCCTCCTCCTCCTCATCGTCCTCCCCTCCTCCTCCTCCTCCCTCCTCCTCCCCTTCCTCTCTTCCGCCTCCTGATCCTCCGCCTCCCCCTCCTCTCCTCCTCCTCCTCCTCCTCCTCCTCCCATTTCCTCTTCATCCATTCCTTTTCCTGATAGATGCCCTCCCTGTCGCACCCTGTGGCCAGTCGAAAGGGCGGGCCGGGCGTTTCGCTAGAGATTTCCTCACCTCTTAGGGTTCTGATGTTGAAAATTGACAGCAGCTTCACAGATGGAGAGCGGGCGGTTTCCAAAATGTGGTTCTCGGTTTAGCGCCGCGCACATTTGTTCAAACATTTGCAAGAGCTTCTCATATGGAGGGCGGTGTTCGCAATGTGGCTCTCGCCTAGGCGCCGCGCAGATTGGTTTCAACAATCTGCATGAGATTCACGGGTTGAGGTCGGGTGATTTTCACAATGTGGTTTTCGCCTTAGTTCCGCGCACATTTGTCTGAATTGCTTACAGATGGCGCCTGGTTTTCAACATGTGGTTCGCTCCTTAGCGCCGCGCACAGTGGTTTAAAAAATATGCAAGAGTTCGGCGAAGTCAGGGCGAGTGGTTTTCAAAATGAGGATCTCGCTTCAGCGCCGCGCACATTCGTTCCAAGAGTTTGCAAGAGTTTCACGGATTAAAGGCGGCTCGTTTTCAACATGTGATTCTCGCTTCAGCGTTGCGCACATTCTTGCTTGATTGCAAGAGCTTCACAGATGGAGGGCGGGTGGTTTCCAACATGTGGTTCTCGCCTTAGCGCCGCGCACACTGGTGGTACAAAATGCAAGAGCTTCTCAGATTGAGGGCGGCTCCTTTTTCTAACATTGGTTCTCACCTTAGCGTCACGCATATTGGTTTTAAACATGTGCACAATTTTCATTGCTTCTCATGGGTAACGTACCAGCGATGGCTGTGGACCGACTCTGGATTGTCAGGGCGCAACAGTTACGTGGATTCGCGGTGATGGAGTCCCAGGGGTGGCGTTCTGGCACGATTCTGGATCGCCAAGATCTAACAATCAGGTTAATTCGTGGCGCTGAAGTGTTGAGTATGGTGTTTTGGCACGCTTCAGGATGGTCATGCGATTGTCTCCCAACGGGGCTTTTCCGTCAGTGGAAAGGACCTGCTGTAGGGGCCTATGAAGAGGGATCTGGGAGGTACGGTGTATTTCAATATCGTTGATCGGTCTTAGGTTTACACTGCTCCCCCTTCTCCTCCTCCTCCTCCTCCTCCTCCTCCTCCTCCTCCTCCTCCTGCTCCTCATGTTCCCCCTCCTCCTCCCCCCTCCGTAACCATTTGGCTCAAGTTCCCAACGTCGCTCCCGCGCTGGGAGCTTGTGTGCAGCCAAGGGAGCGGCTCGAGGCTCCTGAACTTTTTCGCCCCACAGGGGGGCATCTGTGAGCTCCTGGAGGAGCAAGCTCCCGTCCTGCAGTGCATGCAATGGCGCAGCGGGGCAAGGGCATCAATGGTTGGCGCAACTATCGTCCTCGCAGTCGTGTCAATGATTGGCGGGGGCATCAGAGTACCTACAGTGTGTGCAGCAAGTGTGGCCATTGGGAATGGGATTGGCGAGGTCACGCTTGGTGCAGTGTATGTAAGTCCGCATATAAAGGGTACGAACAACCGCATGGGTTTCCTGGTGGTCTTTCCGAGCATGCTGGTGGAGGGCAAGGTGCAGTTCCCTCCGCTCTCGCAGATCAAGCCCGTGCCGCACTTGTTCAATTTCCTGAGCTTCAATCTCTTCTGGCGGCGGCGCTTCCACCTGAACCGCTACCTGCAGTCCCTACCAGTGTGGAGTTGGAATCCTTGGTGGCGGCGAAGCGTACGGAGCTGGCCAAAGAGGTTGAGCAAGCCGCAAAAGAAGAAAGGCTGGCATGGCAAGACCGCAGTGCCCGTCAAGACGCCTTGGCGAAAGCAAGGGAGAAAGTGGCGCAAGCTGAATCCGCTTTCCAGATGGCCTCTGCTGGATTGGAAGAAGCACGCAACAAGCTCAACATCGCCAAGGAGATGCAGAACAATTTCAATGAAGAAGAATTCAAGCTTCGGACCAAAGCTGCTGCTGAAGCCGCCCGCGCTGCTGGAGCCCCTGTACCCGGTGAAGCTCAAGGATCCCAAGATGTTCCCATGGCAGGACCAGCTGGTGGACCTGACGGTGGAGGACATCATGCTCCTGCAGCAAGTGGTGATATTGGCAGCTCTGGTAATCAACCTACTTACGATCCTGACATCGTTTCACGCCTTCACGAACTCTCTGACGAAGAACTTCGGAAAGTGGCTGATTCTACAAAAGTTCCCTTCTCTGAGTGGCAGCAGCTACGGTCCGCGCAGATGGCGGCCAAGAACCTTCTTCGTGGTGGTGCAGAGCATGCTGTTCCTGGTCTTAATGATGATGATGAGGATTTGGACGCTACTGAGCAGGCTGAAATTCGTGAGCTCCGCAAGAGGCCTGCGGAGCAGGTTTCCCCAGCAGATTTGGAGAGGCTGGAGGCCCTCCTCACAAAGAAGTTCGAGGCCAAGGCGGACAAGCGCCTTCGGGTTTCGGACTACGCTACTAATCTCTTTGTCAGCAGCTTTGCTAAGCTCGCCGCCCCCCAGGCAGTACCACCCCAGCAGCTGCTTTAGCAAGGCCGCAGGAAGCCTTGACGTGAAGTTCTGCAACATTTCGAGTTGGTCTGCTTTGGCCAAAGGGGAGATCTCGAAAGCTGTTGGACAGACTGACATCTTCTTGTTTGCGGAACATCACGTTAAGCACGATCGATTGGCCACTTCTAAGAAGGATTGTTCCCAGATGGGCTGGCGCCCACACTTCCAAGCAGCACTTCCTAGTCCAGGAGGTGGCACTCATGGAGGAGTTGGAGGAGTTGTTCAAAAAGGTATTTACTGTAAAAAATATCTTCGGTCGGCTCTTGGAGGAGCCCAGGATTTCGGATCGGGGGAATGTTGGTTCTTCCTCGAATTGAAAACTCACGGTGTGTCCATGGCTATTGGGGTTATCTATCTCATTTCCGATTTGGGTCTCGTTGGGGACAATTTGAAGCGATTGCAGCAAGTGACTGACTTCTTGCGCATGATTAACACCCCGTTCCTCTTGCTGGGTGATTTCAATATGCCTGCAGTGGATCTGCATGAGTGCGGGTTTTGTGAGCTTGTGAACGGTGTGGTGGTTGAACCCATGAATGTCGATTTTACATGTGATAAAGGTTCTGGTACCATGATCGACTATGGAGTGATTTCTCGTTCCCTACGGCCATATGTTTCGATGAATGCTGATCTTACCTCGAGTTTCAAGACGCATGCTTGTCTACATGTCCACCTCTCACTTGGTATCCTGTCTATTCCGGTATGTAAGCGGGACAAACCACCACGCTTCCTTCCTGCCGTCGGGCCTGACCTGCCATGGCAAGTGCATTTGCTACGTGTCCCCCATCAGCAAGTTTCTGTTCCTGCCGAAGTGCGTTCGGCATTTCTTCCTTTTCACGGAGCTGGGCCTCCAGGACCGCTGTCTGAAGGGTATCAAAGATGGTCAGTTGCCGCCGAAAACCTGATGTTGTCTCGGTCCTGTCAGGAGTCCCTTGAGGGACAAAGAGGTCGCGGGGTCCAGTTTCGGTCTGGAAAACTTGGCAGGAGGGGACCCCTTCGGCAGGGCTTTGCGTGCCCGACGCTGGCCTTTTGGTCTTTTGTGTCTTCCAGGTTGTTTGATTTGAAAGTTGCCCTGAAGCGAGGAGGAACTCCGCGCCTCTCCGCCCTCAGGAATGTCTTAATTCAACGAGCTGACGAGGTCGGCCAGCACATCTCCGCCCTGGCGAACGCCAGGCAGGCCCAGGTGTGGGCTGAACGTCTAAAGGACCCCCCCCTTGACCCTACCTCTGTTGAAGTGATGCAAGAAGGGCTGGAGCCCATCCTTCGTCGTGCGTGGACGCAGGCTCGAGAAGCTGGTCAAGGTTGCATTAAGAAATGGTTGTCTGAGGGTCTTAAGGGGGGAGCCAAACCCATCCATCGTTGGTTGAAGCATGGATCTAAGCAGGAGGTCGAATTCCTCATCGATCAAGGTAAGGTGGCCCAATCCCCCAGTGAGATGCTTGAAGTGCGAGAGCTGTTTTGGGAGAAGTGGTGGACCCCATCTAGTAGTCAAATTGAGTCCCTCGTGTATAGCATGGGTCAGTTGCGACACGAGGCGGCCGTTGAGGCCTCTGGGTTAATCCCGATCCAACCGCAAGATGTCATGCGGGTCTGCAAGTATTTCCCTGCCGACACTGGCCTTGGAGTCGATTGTTGGTCGCCTAGGGATTTTTTGCAGTTGCCGCAGGAAGCTTTGCAGGACCTGAGTGACCTTTTCAATGCGTTCGAATACACCCAAAGCTTCCCTGTGCAAGTCTACCTGTGTCTTGTGGCGCTTATTCCTAAGACTGTTTGCACGGAACGGCCTATCACCAAATGCCCCACCTTGTATAGGATGTATACTAAGCTCAGGGGTGACCGAATCCTGGACTGGACTGATTCTCATGTTGCCTTTTGGGATGCTGCTGTGACAAAATTCCTCGGCCCTGAGAGCGGCCATGGTCCGCGAGTTAGTCCACGAAATCGCCCGTGAGGAAGGATGCCAGTCCCTTTCGGCTCACTGGGATATGGAAAAATTTTTGATTCTATCGACCCCTCTAAGTTGGTCAGGCTTGC